AAAGCCCCCCCCGGGTTGGCGAGCGGAGCGAGCAGGGGGCGAAGCCCCCTAGTGATTAATATAAGTGAATTATAATTCTGAAGTTTTTACTTTCTGATATCTAATTTAAAACATCGCATCTTTGCACTCATTTCAATAGAAATATTGGACTAATGATGTGTTCACCTTAGCTACACAAGCGTAGGATCATTTACCTCAGTTCCACTGAAATTTCAATAAATGTCATTATTGAAAATTCACAAATTGTTGTAGTTTGTAGAAATTCAGGGAAATAAATTCTTGCAGAATAGAGTACTGGATATCCACCCTTTCGTTTCGATTGGAAATTCAAAATAATATACATTATTCTGGAAAGAGATTCAATGTTCACAAAAAGCGGCTGCTTTACGTGACCGGAATCATTACAATTGCTATTCCGATACTTTGACGTTTATCGATTTTCGAAGACCTATTTGTGGCTCGGAGCACGGCGAGGGGAGAGTCGATGTCCAATTATTCATCCCCCCCATTTCGAATTTTGTGTTGAGGAAAAAATAAGGCCGTCACGGGTAACTCCGCGAATGACCCCCATCATGGAATTAAGGATATTGAAGTACTTCGTTCAAGTTGGCAATTTTTTTTCAAGCAAGATTTCAATTTTATCGGAAATTTTGCCATCCCCATACTTTTTTGGATTTTTCATTGTTGAATACATTTTTTCGGAAAGTTCTTCAATGAATATTGTGACCCTTTTATATTGATCTATATATTATACTAAAATATTTTATATTTTTCGATAGAAAACACGTTTTTCTTAACCCTTAAGTGCCCTCAGCTCTCCCCCGTGTGTTTTACGATATCGAGGAAAAAAAATAGAACAAAAAAAAATTATTCCACGTTCACTTTGGACCGAAAAAAAGATGCTGATGTATTCCACATATTTGAAAGTAGGAATGCAAATTTTCCTGGCTGTTTCATTCACGAAGTTTTTGTGTGAAAAGAAAAAAAAATATAGAAAAATCGGGGATTCCCTCATCGTGCGATCACTTAAGGGTGTTTTCAATTCAAAAATACAAGACCCGAAATTAAAGAGTGTCGGTATCTACCGGGGATTCCCGAAACTGCGCCCCCACAGAGTAAGTTCAGTCGATAAGTGCAGGATGGACAAGTTATGTAAGTCGACACAACACTCCCTCGTATTTACCCAGAAATCGCCCCCTAACACCCCCGTAAAAAATCCGAAAGCCCCCAAACCCACAATGAATGGTTCGCCCATCGATCCCCATAATTTTCGTGACCCTCAAGGTCACATCGGCTGCACCGAGCCTTCAATTGCGTTCACTGCAGCTCGGTGCAGTCGATATTGTCCTGCCGTTGCGCAATAGCCACTGTGAAATTGAAAAAGGAAATGACAGGATGAGCAAAGCTCGACGTCAAGACTTAAAAACACATTCGGGTTCATTATAAAGTGATAAAATAGACTGGAAGGTGGGGATTTACGCTATCGGTTGTCACTATCGAGTGGACATGTGTGGTAATGGCTTTTTGTTGAACAGTCAGCTATTGAAATTAATTCCACCATTAGCTATTGCTAGCTTTAAATGCAGTATCTTGGATTGTTGATAACATTGATTTTGACACTATTAGCATCAGTATAATGTCGTGCTCGATGGAGAATGCTATTTATTTCCTGCAATACAAGATGATGACGATTGAATATTATTGTCTAGGCTGCTGCTGGTGCTGCTCGGCACTGAGGCCAAGGTACAAGAGACTGGTTGACAATATTTTTCCGGTTAATCCGCAGGTAATTTTGGAGTTTGAGGATGTTTTTTCTGTTAAAAAATTGGTGTCACCTTTTTTGTCAGCAAAATAGCTCCCCAGGGATAACCTTAAGCCTGGGAACAACTATAATCTTTGCTTAAAGCGTAGCAACGCGCTCGAAATCGAATGTCACTCGACAAAAATAGAGAATAAACTTGACGTCGTGCACTAGTAAAATAATGATTTCCCGTTGCAGGATGGACTGGTCAAAAATAACATGGAGAAATTGATTTTCTACTCGCTGAGTAGTCCCGAGAAATTAGACAGAATAGGTGAATATTTATTTCAACGGGCTTCCAGGGATATCTATAGGCGACGAAATGGCTTTGTTATAATCGCCATGGAGGCCATGGATAAATTGCTGGTTGCCTGTCACGCCCAAACGTTGAACTTGTTCGTTGAGAGTTTTTTAAAGATGATACAGAAACTCCTGGAGTCGACGGATCCTCAGCTCCAGATAATGGCGACCCAATCTGTGAGTTGATGTCATTTTAGGGGAGATCGCACTGGAATTTCGAAATCGTTGGTCTTTGATTCTCCATTTTTTTTCGGTTTTTTAAATTTCGAATTACGAATTTTTCTCATTACATCCCAGCAAACAGTATGTCGACAATTTGTCGACAAATTGTCGATGTCGTGTTAAATTTTAGATGGCAGTGACAGAAATTGTTTTCTGGGATCTAAATAAATGACTCGAAAAATCTGAAATCACTTTCACTTGATTCATGATGTACTTGAACATCACTAATTTTTCCAATTTTTCACCTCAGCCAATTTTGAGAAACAAAAAAGCTCATATCTGTGAACCAAAATTTGAGTCATTCGATTGAGAATTGCGCCATGAGGCCATTTTCTTATGAATGGAGACTGTAATCGTTCAATTTTAGGTTTCGAATTTTTTCTTCAATTGTTCGCCCATAAATCGATGGAATTGAATTTTTTTTTCTAATATAGACATTGCTGAGTGCTATCCATCGACATTGATTAAAATTCAATCCATATATTATATTTTTTACATTTTTAAATTGTTTAAAAATTCGGTTGTCCTACCGTAACTCCGTAACAGTTTGTACATTAAAAACTGCTGGAGTCAACTCGCCAGCTCGATAAAATTTATTATTTATTTATTATTTATTTATTTATTTATTTAATGAAGCTCCCTACAACTTTGAAATTTCCTTGCGATCTCCTGTTACAGAGGCATGTCACTGATGAACACGTAGTTAACATTCTCCGACGAATGATACTAATCACGAACACTCCGGCTTCTTCATCCCATTTGCTATGGTTTTTAATGATCTCCTAGTGCAGATTATCATTGTACAATTTAATCGAAAGCTCCAAAAACTTTTGTCTTCCGACAGTTTGTCAGATTTGCCAACATCGAGGAGGACACGCCGTCTTATCACACACGTTACGATTTCTTTGTATCAAAGTTCTCTGCAATGTGCCACGCCAACCACGACGACTTGGCAATACGCAAGCAGATTCGACTCGCCGGCATACAGGGGCTGCAGGGTGTCGTGAGAAAAACATTGAGCGATGATCTTGTGGAGAATATTTGGGAATCTGTTCACATGGATAAGATTGTACCGTCTTTGCTGTACAATATGCAGAATTCGAGGTAAAATTGATTATCATTTTTGGAAAATTTATTTTGCTTTTGAGTGATTATTTTACCAAACATTCATTTGTGATTTATGATAACATGTTGCTCCGACGATTATTCATTTTTCCTAAATTTATCATTTTCTACAAGAACTTGGATTAATTTTTTAATTTTTATAATTATTCAGGGAGTTTACTCAAGGTTTTAACTAACATAATCATCTTCTAGAGGAATATAATTGGCATAATTGAAACCTAATGAGAATTGCCTGGGAATAAACTTGACTGGAGAAATACGATAGCGAAAAAATGAATACTTTTCTCAAGTAAATGGATATTTGGCAAAAATTTGTAATCGTTTAAATTTAAGTTTCCAATTTATTGTTTTTCAACGATCCCTCAAAAAATTACATTATAGAATTAATAACGAAAAATCTTGATGACATTTTAATTGATGATAGTACGATATCATGAAAAAAAAAAAATAGAAGAGGAGAATAGTGAAATAAGAATGAAAAATTGTCTCTCATCCAACCTTTTTAATTACGAAATTGTTCACAGATATGTTGATAAAGAAGGTACAACACCAGACAGTCCAACTGAGGAGCGCTCCGACCCTCCCCAGTTTGCAGAGACCTGCATGCGGGAATTAGTGGGGCGTGCATCATTCGGTCACATTCGCTGTGTCATCAGGCCCGTTCTGAGGCACTTGGACAATCATCAATTATGGGTTCCCAATTATTTCGCCATTCACACCTTTAGGATAATTATGTTTTCAATCCAAGTGAGTAGCCTTCACGCATGCACCAAAAATAATTCATAGATTCATTCTAAATCATATTAATAATTCCTACGGATGAATTTCACAGCTTCGCTACGCGTTTTTTTAAATCGAAAATGTGCAACTATTTTTTTCTGTGTGAATTTCTCTGTGACAATTCATCTGTTTTATTCACAAATTTAATTTATTTATTTTATTTATTTTATTTATTTTATTTTATTTATTTTATTTATTTTATCTATTTTATTTATTTTATTTATTTTATTTATTTTATTTATTTTATTTATTTTACTTATTTTATTTATTTTAATGATCCCTCGAAATTGTAATTTACTTCGAAAAAAAACTAGAATTTTCCAGGAAAATTTAAACTTCTGTAGAAAATTCTAGAATGTCCTAGAATTCCGATAGATAGAGCCACTGTCGATAAGGAACCACAAGGACTTATTCCCTAATCCCCCCCCTCCACAATAAAAACAGACGTACCTACGTCATAAAACTCAGAAAAATAGACCCGCTAAATTACTCCAAAAGTAATGCCCCCAATCTTCTTCTTCCAGTCCCAATACTCGTACACAGTAGTCGAGGCCCTGATGACGCACCTCGACGAGAACTCCAAGTCCTCCCCGAAGATTCGTACGAGCATCGCCGACACGCTCTCCAAGATAATCTCCATCGCCGCCGGCGAGAGTGTCGGCCCCTCAGTCCTGGAGATAATAAACTCCCTGCTGTCGCACCTGCGCATATCAGTGACCCGAAATCAGCAGTCGAGCCCAGACGAGCAGCTGTACCAGGAGGCCCTGATAAACGCCCTGGGCGAGTTCGCCAATCACCTCCCAGATTACCAGAAGATCGAGATCATGATGTTCATAATGAGCAAGGTCCCTTACAGCCAGCCCGACCGCCTGGTCTCAGTGGCGAAGGGGGACGTGCTCCTCCAGAGTATTCTCCTGAAATCCCTCTTGAAAGTCGGCTCGAAATACCAGACAATCCACCTGAACACGACGTTCCCCCCCAGCTTCCTGGACCCCCTCTTACGAATGTCCTTAGCAGCTGACGCTGAGATGCGTCTGCTGGTGCAGAAGATCTTCCACACGCTGATAGATCGTCACCACAACATCGACAAGCTGGCGAAACCGTCGATAAAGCCCTTGGAACTGGACCTGGCGATCGAGAAATCCTCTCGTCCAGACGTCATCTTCATCAGGAAGCACGGACCCGAGATCTACCTAGCCCTCTACGAGTCCCTGGAGTTCCCTGGCAATACAGTTGAGAACATTGAAGCCATCTACACGACCCTGGCTCTTCTGATTGTCGAACTAGCCTCGGAAGACACTGTCCTAGAGCAGCTGAGACTTGTCCTGAGTCTCCAGGACTTGGCACTCACCAGCAGTCAGATCAGCAGTGCCCTCAAGTTCAATCTTCACGCCGTTGTCATCAGTCTCCTCATGATGATAGCTCATGTCTGCAGTATTGGGAGCTTGATGGAGTACAGCATGAAGATCGTGGAGATCAGGAGGAGGGAGGCTGCGCATCTGCTGCCTGAGCTGAGGGGGCAGTATGCGGGGGAGTTCCAGAGGGTGACTGGAGGGGTTCTGGTGGATCAGGCGGTGGTTACTGAGTGCCTGAAGACTGCTGGCTTGGATACCATCAAGTTGCAGCAGGGCTCGGGCTACAGTAGCTCTTCGCTGCAGCATAGGCACTCGTGGGTGGACAGCGCTGGGAGGAACTCCATTGCTGACATCAATGCTGGGAATACTGAGTTGGACAGTGGGGGCAGCTCACCAGGGGTCTCCAGGAAATTTGTGGAGGAGCTCACCTTCGAGAGCATGAAGAAAATTCTCACTGAGAGCAATAATAATCTGGGAGTTGAGGAGGAGAGGAGGGCGCAGCTGTCTGAGTACTTCAGGAATGCCACGTTCCAGGATTTGGTCTCCAAGACGCAGCCTAAGGGGGACGTACTCCAGAGCAAGTTGTCTGATATCTTTAATTCTCTCACGATGGAGGGGAGAAATGTGGCGGTGCAGAGTGGACAGGTGGAGAACAAGGTCAATGTGCCCAGTTATGAGGTGCATTTTCCAGAGTTGTTTGTTTATTGAGGGCGGGGAGACAGTATTTTCGAGGGAGGGACAGGTTTTTTCTTATTTAAGGCAGTTATTTCAGCAGGGAAGTGGTAAAACGTGATGGCAGAGGGAGGAGTTGAGGAGTGGATTTTTTTTATCTTGTTGACTGGGGAATTCTCTCGATAATTAAGGGTTTTGAGGGAAAATGTCAGGTGTTTTCCGTGGGGAATTGTGGTGATTAGAAAAATTGTAAATACTAGTTTTTGATGGGAAAGAGGAAAATTAATTTTCGATATTTTTGATGATTGCATTCCAGAGAATGAGGGAATCTAGGGATCTAGGGGGAGATGGAGAGACGACTCTTGGATTGCATTTATAGAATAATGAAATGTTTGAAGGAGAAAGATTCAGAGGACATTTTTGCCACGAATTTCATTGACTCCTGATATTTTTCTTTCGAGTCACAAATTTCAGGGATGAAACCGTAATTAATCAGAATAATACGATCGATTCGTCATGTTTTACTAATTCGCTGACAATGTCTTCTTTTTTTTATTCTGCAATTTATGCACAATTCCAAGGTATTTTTGTATCAATACCGTTATGTTGATATTTGATGCGGTATTACGCTCAACACAGCAGATCATGCTATTTGTTCATTGTTTATTTTTGTGCTGAAGTATTGTGAGGCAATAAAGTTTATTGGAGAAATTATCAACGAATGCTTTTAACTTTCAATCCTCACCAACTCTTGGCGTAACCCAGGACTCACGACGAGGACGTAGTTGGTGGAGAGTGCCAAACAAAAAATATATAATTTTTTTTTATTAATTACGTATATTCGAATTTAATCGATGGCCTATGGTATTGGTGTCCCATTGTTTCCCAATCGATTTCCAATCATCCTCTGCTTTCGTACCTATAGCCCTTGAGAAATAATGAAAACACAATTACGTATGGTTCAATAATTCTTTAATTCAATCGCTCGATACAAAAAGGAAAAAGAAAAATATTACACAATCGTTAAATTGTAGAATAACACGGTGTACAATAGATAAATATTTATAAATGCGGAGTTATCGCTCGAAGAATTTCAATGCATTTTTCCTCAAACGGGTCATGAGACCTGAAGCATCGGATCGTTAAATATATTTATTAAAAATTGCAAAGTTTCGTAAAAATGATCGTTATGAAATTTTATTGGTCATGTCAATCCAGCGTTGGAGTTTCATCCTTGGAGATGTTCATTTGTCCTCAAGTCCATTGATTAATTAGTCAATCCCGTCCGGGACACCTGAGCGATTGAATAAAGTGTACATTGTGCCGTTGTAGATGAATTAATTTAAGAAAAAGGGGTGTTAAATTCTTTATGATGTTCTGTTGTTTTTTTCACGGCGATTAGATCCTCCATTTAGTCAGTTTGGCATTTTCGCGATGGAAGGACGTTCAAGGCTGGACCTTGAGGAGCTCCACGTCGAAGATCAGGGTTGCGTTTGGGGGAATAGTGTGTCTTTGTCAAGGGTAATATATTTGGGGTAATCGAATAACGGGGCAGAATGAATAAGACGAGGAATGAAGACTATTTAGGACATGTTGAGGGTCATGACCCTTTTTAATTACTCGAGTTTAATCCGCTCTATCTTTGAGACTGTTTAACCCTTAACCCTAAACGTCCTTAAGGGTCGTCTGACCCTCAAAACTATTCGAAATGTCCTTGAAAGTTTTTTGACCCACAATCATTCCACAGTCATTTTTCAAAAATGACCCACAGTCATTTTTGAAAAATAAAAATTCTGCTGTTATGCCCCAGATCATAATTAGTGTTTAATAAAAATTATCTTCAACCTTTATATCCATGATAATTCCGGAATGATCTACATTGGCAACTTGCCTGCAGAATTGAGTTAATGCTATTCCCTGCAAGTTAATTACTGAAGTTTTTACTTTCTGATATCTAATTTAAAACATCCCATATTTGCACTCATTTCAATAGCAATATTGGACTAATGATGTGTTCACCTTAGCTACACGAGCGTAGGATCATTTACAAGTGCGAGAAAATTCTATAGAAAATATCTCAATAGAATAAGTTTTATGGAAAAATTCAATTCTATCGGTTTTTCTCATTATTTATTAAAAACTAATCATTATCATGATGAATAAATCCGCTCTATCTTTGAAACTGTTTAACCCTTAACCCTAAACGTCCTTAAGGGTCGTCTGACCCTCAAAACTATCCCAAATGTCCTTGAAAGTTTTTTGACCCACAATCATTCCACAGTCATTTTTCAAAAATGACTCACAGTCAAATCTACATTGGCAAGTTGCCTGCAGAATTGAGTTAATGCTATTCCCTGCAAGTTAATTACAATATTTATCAAATTAGTGGAAAAAGGATATACGCCAGGGTGGCCTCGACTGCCGTATGCGAAATCCGGTGAGCAGGTCAAGCGAGCACGCTCACCCACAGACATCTGAGCAACTCCCTGATCCCATCCTTTGATAACTTCACCCTTGCCAATCTTAAACTTGAACGGTGCACCGTGGTCTCGACTTGAGTCGAATTTCTTTCCATTTGTTAGTGTACCTTGAATCAATTCATTGAACATTGAATGCGTGGAAATCTCTCAGATGCCCAAGCAAAAAGAATTTTTTCTTAAATGAAAATTCCGATAGAAAATTACAAGTTGAGATCATTCGATTCAATTTTTCGTTTTCTCCGCAATAGTTTTATCATGAAGAACTATCAAGCAGCATAAATGCAATATTTACCTGTGTAATGAACAACTACGGTCTGTCCAGTCTTTGGGAAAGTCTGACCTGCAAAAATCCCCCGAAAAAAGCAATTGAATGTCTAATGCATTAAAAATTCAGTATAGACGTCTGATTTTCACCGAATAAATTGAAAAAAAAAGCAAATCGCTGAGGTAGATGGGCCTATCACATTTTAATAATTTTGTCAGTGCCAAGAGTCTATCGAGAGTGAAATACGATTGGAGTTATCATTTTAGTTAATAAGGAGAGTTATAGACACCAATCAACAGTCATTTATTGAAGGATAGGAGAGAAAAATCCCATTCACATCAACTGGTGCTACGACAGAGTGAATTCTTAAGCCGCAAGTTAAGAAACTCACAATTTTTAAATGTTGATATCTCCATTATAATAGCAAAATGGGATTAAAATCCCTTGACTGAGGTTTCGGAAAGTTAAAAAATCAATAAAAATACATAAGTCGTAGTGATATCTTAATATTTTATCTTAATATTATGATTAATATAAGTGAATTATAATTCTGGTTTTTACTTTCTGAGATATAATTTAAAACATCGCATCTTTGCACTCATTTCAATAGAAATATTGGACTAATGATGTGTTCACCTTAGCTACACGAGCGTAGGATCATTTACAAGTGCGAAAAAATTCTATAGAAAATATCTCAATAGAATAAGTTTTATGGAAAAATTCAATTCTACCGATTTTTCTCATTATTTATTATAAAACTAGTCATTATCATGATGAATAACAGTGAATTATAATTCTGAAGTTTTTACTTTCTGATATCTAATTTAAAACATCCCATATTTGCACTCATTTCAATAGAAATATTGGACTAATGATGCGTTCACCTTAGCTACACGAGCGTAGGATCATTTACAAGTGCGAAAAAATTCTATAGAAAATATCTCAATAGAATAAGTTTTATGGAAAAATTCAATTCTATCGATTTTTCTCATTATTTATTAAAAACTAGTCATTATCATGATGAATATAAGTGAATTATAATTCTGAAGTTTTTACTTTCTGATATATAATTTAAAACATCGCATCTTTGCACTCATTTCAATAGAAATATTGGACCAATGATGCGTTCACCTTAGCTACACGAGCGTAGGATCATTTACGAGTGCGAAAAAATTCTATAGAAAATATCTCTATAGAATAAGTTTTATGGAAAAATTCAATTCTATCGATTTTTCTCATTATTTATTAAAAACTAGTCATTATCATGATGAATATAAGTGAATTATAATTCTGAAGTTTTTACTTTCTGATATATAATTTAAAACATCGCATCTTTGCACTCATTTCAATAGAAATATTGGACCAATGATGCGTTCACCTTAGCTACACGAGCGTAGGATCATTTACGAGTGCGAGAAAGTTCTATAGAAAATATCTCAATAGAATAAGGTTTATGGAAAAATTCAATTCTATCGATTTTTCTCATTATTTATTATAAAACTAGTCATTATCATGATGAATATCAGTGAATTATAATTCTGAAGTTTTTACTTTCTGATATATAATTTAAAACATCGCATCTTTGCACTCATTTCAATAGAAATATTGGACCAATGATGCGTTCACCTTAGCTACACGAGCGTAGGATCATTTACGAGTGCGAAAAAATTCTATAGAAAATATCTCTATAGAATAAGTTTTATGGAAAAATTCAATTCTATCGGTTTTTCTCATTATTTATTAAAAACTAGTCATTATCATGATGAATATAAGTGAATTATAATTCTGAAGTTTTTACTTTCTGAGATATAATTTAAAACATCGCATCTTTGCACTCATTTCAATAGAAATATTGGACCAATGATGCGTTCACCTTAGCTACACGAGCGTAGGATCATTTACGAGTGCGAGAAAGTTCTATAGAAAATATCTCTATAGAATAAGTTTTATGGAAAAATTGAATTCTTAAATTCGTTTTTTCTTATAGAATATATCCACTGAGAGAATCACCCAAAATCTGGTAAAAAATTCAGTAAAAATCCAGTAGAATTTTCCAGCGAATTCGTCGGCATTTCAGTGAAATTTCCTCGCTGTTAGAACAACGAGACCATAATGACCACGAGGTCACCCCGTCTGCCGAGTTGGTTCGCGAGTCCAATACTCTCATAATTTATACGAATATTGATTTCAGAAAGAACAAGTGCGGCGTCTTGCCTAGGCAATCGTGAAAATACAAGTCCTTGACACTGCCGATGGCTGCCCCATCATTACCCCCAACGCGATCGTTTAATCGTTGCCCTCGTAAACACTAATAGCCGACCACAAATGCCGGAAAAAAGAGTGGAAGTAGAAGTATGCAAATAATTACCGTCCCCGGGTGAAATAACTTCGACATCCACGCCCATGACTGCTCGATATCTGGAAAGATATTTATTTTCACCGGTTATGAGTGATACACTTGGCGTTGTATCCCTCAGATCGGTGGGTAATTGATGCAATTGTTTATTGAAAGGGAATGAAAAAAATGTCGGGAGTGTACGTACCTTCACACACACGGGTTTACGATCGAAATGCGGTCGCTGACTAAATGTGGCGAAGAGATTTTTAACTCTTAAAGCCGCCGATAGACGAGTGAAGGTGAGTTTTCACTTCGCGGTCCGGAGAATTATTACCGGGGGGGGGGGGGGAGGGGTAATCTCAGATGGACACATTCCGTTTTGGACACGTTCTAGGGAAAATGGCGACAGAACGGAATGCGGTGGAACAAATGGGCACGGAAATTTGGGGACGCATTCCCGGATCGACAGATTCTGATTAGAGATTGGCGATACGATACCCCTCGATATACCGATATTTTTCTGACGATATTTGTGACGACTAATATATCGACATTTGACATATCGACATCGAAATTTGTTTCCAATTTTCTAGGATTTCGAAAGAGAATAAATGAAATGAATGAATAAATGAAATGTTATCAAGAAAAAAGCTTTTCATTGGTGAATATTTCAGATATAAAAAATATATTGCTATATCGGTTGAACGATATTTTTTTCTGAATATCGATATCTTCATACCGATATTTTAAAATTATATCGATGGTGTGATTTCGATATTTCCTTCAATATCGCTCATCCCTAGTTCCACCACTTCCCGTACTGACGCCATTTTCCCTAGAAGTGTCCTAAACGGAATGTGTCCATCTGAGATTGTACAAATGACCCCACCCCCCTAAACGCCTCTTAAGTGACCGTCATATAACAGTTCATGTGACGCATTTGCATCTCTAGAAACGATCCTCAAGCCTTTGGGATTGTTTCCAACGAAAAATCAGTGGTCGTGGTGATGACAACGAAATGTTTTGATTTTGGCCAGTTCTAATTAGCGATTATAAATTATTAAATATTATTTATATTGTTTGTATGATAAGATGACCAATTTATTTGTTATTTCCACTTCCTTATGCATTTTTGCATACGTAATTCCTTCTGTTATTAAATACGTGAGTACAATTTTCAAGTATTTTATTAACCAAAAAAATGTTGATAAAAATCGTCGCAATGGGAATAATTGAAAAAAAAATGTTAGCTTGATTATTTAAATATTTTACTGTTATATCGCTCAATTATTACAATTATTTGGGTAGATCGTGGGATGGTTCTTCTCAGAATCGAGGGAGGAGCAGAATGTGCGAAAGGAAATACTCAGGTTGGAGCAGGAGATGTCGAACATTCCGATGGTCGATGAATTTGCGAGGTACACGAAAATCCAGAGGAAACACACGAAACTTAGAGAGAATTTTAAAAATCAAGGTTTGGAAATTTTTTGCATTTCACGTCATTTTGACAAAATCAACAGTTACTACTTTAATTTTAATTACGAGACAATTTTTGATATTTTTATTTCAACTCAGAGACAAATTGATCGATTAAATTCAGTCTAGGCTCAGCACAAAGGGAAAAGATTTCCCTTTTCGAGGAAAAAATGATTATCCTATTTTATCAGTGATTCAATGAGTTATTGAGGTTCAGGAAAAAGCCCAATAGCCCAAGTGCCTCTTGTTCTACTAGATTAGAATAATTTCAGTTTTACATTGCATCTGCATCAGATAAAATTATTGGAATGCTGAATCGAATTCTCGTTTCGTTTTTCATATTTTTTTTATTCTTTTCTCTTGTCTTTGAGAATAATTAATGCAACGGTTGTTGCAGTGGCTGCCAGAATGTCTGCGAGAGCGAAAACTCAACTGTTTTTCACTTATTCAGCTCGAGTTTTCAATGTAAGTTGTTTAAAAAATTTATGAACTATTTTACAAAAAAAACTGTCTCATGATGATTTTAAAATAAGAGTCATTTGAATATCGATATTGAACCGTTAGTAAACATTTTAAAAATCTGAAAGAAAAAATTAATTAAAAATGTTGACACTATGTTTAAATATGTAATCAGAAATAATTCATCATGAAAATAATCTCATTATTTTCCTGATTAAATAAAACAATCAAGAATTTTATTAGACCAATTTTTCTAATTCCCAGGGACTAGTAATGGTCATAATGATGAAATTATATCGAAGTGAGCCTGTGATGATTCTGCCAAAGGGAGTCCTCTGGCCCCTGGACAAGATCCTCAGCTGGCCAAGCACCTACGAGGACTCGATCTCCCTCGCCATGTGGACGGCCATCACGACACTCGTTAGCAAAACCACCTAACAATCCTGTACACTCCCCCAAAAAAAAATAAAACACTGAAAAAAACTCAGAACTCGTTTCACTCCAAGTTTTCCTCAATTTTCAAATATTTATTGATGTTTCATTAAAACCAAAGGTAATAAACCAGAATTAATAGCAAAACGAGTAATAGTACATAAAGAATGATCATAATACACGAATAAAACTAACAAAATCATTAACAAATAGTTGTTTCTTAGGAAAATGCACTGAAAAATGTTGACACTATGTTTAAATATTTCAGGATGAGACATGTTTCTCATTTTCTTCTTTTTGTGATTTGAGAAAATCGTTTTGTGCTGTTTGTCGAAGCAAATGAGTGAGTTGACCGATTGGATTGAATAATATTTGTGTATTTTAAAGCACCGAGAGTACAATTGTGACAATTTTTTCATTCACTTGATAATGATTCCGTCTCATGACGATTTCTCGAAATATTACTTTTGGTAAAAGTGGTTGTGTCTCGATAACGAGTGCTTTTAGGAGGAAATCAATGAGAAACTTTTTTGTAGCTGACGATATTCTCTACAAAAAGTGTCTTATGACATTTTCTCCTCAACCGACTCGTCGTCGAGATAATTCCATGTTTATCAAGAGTTAAAATTGTCTGTTTTGGTTTTTCCTGTTTTGTTCAGCTCTGTTCTTGCTCAAGTTGTCAATTTGTTTCATCGCTTTAACACAGGTTCACTCTTGACCAATTGCGTGTAAAATAACTAATCCGCGATAGTTATATTCATCAATTAACGTGACAGACTGAACTGGAATATCAACTGATCGTAAGGGATTAAATGCACTCAGTCGAGTATTCAATAGAACAATTTGTTTAAGTTTCTCTGGCAGTTGACGATGCAATTCATGAGTTTAACTAATCCTCACGTTTCTAGTGATTATTATCCATTTTTATTCGTAAGCCTCGATTATCCGTTAATATTGAACAGAAAATCATGAAAAGAAGGGAAATTAGCAAGCAAATTAAATTATCAAATCCAAAAAATGACTTCAAGAAACCCAAATACCTCGAGAACTACTAGATTTGTCGAAGAATCACGTGCAGACTATTTCCTAAATATCTCCGAAACCATCGGGTTTATCGAAAAATTTCTCCAGTCCTTTTTTGTGGAGAAATAAATTTCCCACGAAAAGTGTCTCTTGACATTTTCGCCTACAACCCTTCCTGTCGCTAAAAATTTCACCTGGGACTTCAACTTTCACGAAAAAATGATCAATGTTCGATCATTGTTTAGCGGTTAATTCTCTCGTGACAATAATCATCACAAAAACACCAGCAAAACTTGAATTCAAGACGCTTGCAGATCAGTTTACGCTCACTAACATCTTTATAATTTCATATAACTCATTCTCATGACTTTTTATTCATTTGATTGATTTCTAAATATTGGATCAATGTCACACGTGACTCGTACCTTCAATACGTACTTATTTATTTAATATTCATGATAAATATTAAATTGACCCAGTAACATACCCACTTTCAACACAGTTATTAATCCATAGTATTACATTTGTTTCATTAATTAGGCGATTTTATATAAACGAGAAAAATATAGGTATACAAGACTTAACATTCAAACTTTATCTTCATTTATCTTTTATTTTTTAATTACTTTTTATTACTCTTGAGAATAACTGTTTATTGTTTTGAATTATTAGGACTTTTTTTCGTACTTTCGTGCTGATTTACTCATGATTGAATGATTTATAGTGTTTATTTCGATAACTGTGATGAGATTTTTTTAATTTTTCAGCTTTCATCTCTGACTTTTTCGTTGAAAATATGATTTTTTAATGGTTTTCAAATTTTCTACATCGAGATTACAAGGTCTGTGGAAGCGTACAAGCGACACACACGAACATTCAATTATTTTGACATTATGACATTGGATTACTCGTGAGAATTGTTTTTTTTAATTGTAATTTTTAATTGAAAAAAGGACACGATATTATCACTTAAACTTCGAATGAGGAAAATTTCGGTTCAGGGATTGTGAGGGGTTTTGGGGGCATGCGAATACTGCGATTCAACTCCCAAGCACGAAAGTTAGTTCAATTAATTCATGCAATTAATTTTTTTAAGATAATACTCTGTTAATTATTCAATTCTCTCAACGACTGAGTTTTTTAATCGTTCAATTATCTCTAGAAAGAAATGATTCGCGAGAAAATGTCAAAATACATTTTTTACAGGAAATTTTGTCAGCTTGAAAAAAGTCTCTCGACATTTTCCTCTAAAATCACTCATTAACGAGACAATTTCGTAGTTGTTGAAACCTTTTCATCATTAAGTCCCCGATATTTCATGAATTATTACCGATTTATTTGTGATTTCTTTTCACTTGCGAAAAGATATCAAAAGACTCTGAATTCAAGATAATTTCGTAATTAACAAAATCGTCAGATTCTAATTCAGCAACGAAAGTGGTAGAACGATTCAAGTCAACTTTGCTCTTAGCTGTGTTTTTTAGGAATATCTCCGAATCTAAGAGAGATAGCAAAATTTTCGTAATAACCGTTTTGGTAGCCCTCGTGCTGCTCTACAAAAAAGGTGATATAAAAAATTTGACCATCTGCTTTAGATTCCGAGATATTGATTAAAAACTGAACAATAGTCAAAATTGACTCCAACTGTTTTGGCACTGCTACTGAATTTTATTCATCGTTCAAGCACTTCAATGAATAGTTAGAAAATTCGCTGGGTATATTGATTGCGCTGTCCTTCCCCTCTTCAATGCCTCACAGAACAAGAGGCAGAACCGTGCTCTTCCTCATAACTGAATACGCTTAGGAATAAACGAGAAAAATAATAATGGGGTACCTTTTACCGATTACATGTCAATGGGAAGTGGATAATGAAGTGGAGTATTTATGTTTTAGCGATGTCCATGGGTGATCCAGCAGATGTGTTGACTGCTGGTGCTGCCAGTGGTGGTCCCCCTGGGCTCACAATTGTTGGGGGAATTGCTGGCTTCACGAATCTGTCTGAAGTGCGTCTGCCTGTTGGTGGTCCTATGTGACCCTGGTGAAGAAACATTGACATCAACGTATAAATAAATTTTTTCATAAAAGATTATTGAAAGATTATTCAAAGATTATTGAAAACTGCAAAAAATTGCAGAAAACTCGATTAGATTCGGAATTCAAATTTTTTTCTCAATTTAATTATTTTGGTTTTTCAAAGAAGAAAGGTTTCAAAATCAGGATTTAACCCAGTGTATTATGTGAAAATCAACATTTCCATTATAATCAAAGATTAAAATCTGAATTTTTTTTCATTAATGTGAAAAAATCAAGAATTTTTTTGACACCTCGTAAAAAATAATCCACAGTTTTGCAAACAAGTTTTATTATTTATTTATAAGAAGGAAATGCTTGAAAAAATATCAATATTTTGCGAAATTTAATTTAGAAAATACGGACTGGGTATGAATTTTTTCAAATTTTTTCCATGCAATTTAGTTGAAAAATTTAAAAACAGAAAATCGGACATTCTTGACGCTAAGGATAGGACAGTGTGAATGCAATTTTTTCACTTTGAACAAATAATGTTAATATCCAAATAAAAAATTTCTGATATGAATAAAAAGAAGCTGTGACTCAATAATGCAAATTGTTTCATTTAAGTTTATTTTTAAAAAAATAGTCAAAGCCCGGGTGGATTGTCTTTCGAACATCATCTCGAATATTCTTCCATCTTCATAATGTAAAATATATCACAATTTCCATTGGATTTTACGTCACGCAGGACTCCCTAAAAATTATGATTGTGCAATCGAAAAAAGTAGAGAGAAAAACTGAGCATTTCCAAAGAGCGTTTTTAATCAAGATTAAGAAACAAATCCGATAGAGAGGAGATAGTGAATGGATAATTTGTCATGGTAAATAACGATCTGACAGCCATTGACTACTGCGACAAATGACCACCTAACAGCCATTAAATACATCAAATCATTAATTTGCAATTTCCTCCCTACTGGGTTTATTTCTCAGAATTATTGAAAAACGCTCTTCGAAAATCCAGCTTTTCTTCAACGCGATTTTTTTGTTGTGGAATTGAATAGCAATTGGAGATCATTTCAGATTATCAAAATAAAAAAAAACAACCGAGATCACGTTCGAGAGATAATCCACCGGGGCCTTAATGAAAAAACTTACGCCTGCCGGTGGCGGTGAACTGGAGAACGGTATTATCATACTCTGTCCACAGGCGAAGCATCGATTGGAGGTGAAGCTGTCGCGAGATGTCGAGCCCACGACATTGACCCCCGGACTGAGGGGTCTTGACGAACTTGGAGATGGATTGTATGGCACTGGACTCGACACTGTGCGATTCCTAATGTTGCTACCAGACATTACGATTTCGTTGTAATGGCGTTCCTCCTCCATTTCCAGGCTGATCAGAAATAAAAAAAAAATTAGCAGTTGATTTTGAGATAAATTGATAAAATGATAATAAATAAATAGTGAAATGATTCACCTTGACTCAGACTCAGACAGATGTCTGCAAAGGGCCTCGCGACGTTCGACCTCGAGCTGCAATTTTCTCTGGAGTCTCAAATTCTCCTCGCGAATATGTTTCTCCTCGTTCACATACCGCTGCATTTTTTCGGTATCTAAAAATACAAATAATTCGCATTCCAGTTGAGTGAATACATCCAAAAATAGCTGGACGGTTCGACAGACACGAGAGAAAATAAATAACTCTCCATCAAACTCCAGAAATCGAGAGATTGTCAAGAGACACTCGTAGGACATTTTATCCACCACAAAACAAGTGGAAAAATGCTTTCGTCACGACATAGTCAGTATATTTTAGCTAATTAGCAATTTGCTTCCGAATGGAATTTCTGTGACGATATATTTCAAATTGAATCCAGTGATTCATTCAATTTCAAATTATCACAACGTTGGCAGCCAACATTGCCCCAAGGTTAAAATTCCTTACCTTAAATATTTAGAATCACGATTTAGCCATTACCCAAGTTTTCGAGGGATATCTCCGAATCTAAGGGAGATGACGAAATATTCGTAATGACCTTTTTCATAGCCCTCGAGTAGCTCTACAAAAAAGGTCATATAAAAAAATTAGCTATCTGTCTTGGATTCCGAGATATTCATTAAAAATGGGCAATGCTAGTGAAGTAGTTATCCTGACCCAAAAAATTGGAAACTTTGGCCTCAACTGATGCAATGCTTTCATTCGGAGGCAAAAGTAAAAATGCACAGTTAATCCACATTAAATGACAAAATAACAACCCCCCCAAACTCACGTTCTTGTTGTGATATGAGAAGTGTATGTCGCAATCTAGCAACTTCACTCCTCAGTGTCTGTATGTGGGTGCTCAGATTAGTCGCAGTATCGCCGTTATTGAGATCCCTGGGTGATGTGGGATCAGAGACAGGCTGATCCAACTTAATCTGTAACGTGCGTTTCTCAGCCTCCAACTTGTCCATTCTCTTCCACAATTTATTGACGAGTGCCTCCTGCTCCTGCTCGAGGGTATTCTCCAGCTCCACCTTTTCCCTCCTCAACTGCTCCAAATTGCTCTGCTTGGAGAGCGTCTCAGCCTCCAATTTCTCGATCTTCCTCATCAACTTGTTGACGAGACACTCCTGCTCCTGCTCCAGTGTCTGCTCGAGCTTGCATTTCTCCTGGCGCAGTTGATTCAATTTCCGGGATAAATCGTTGGTTAAACATTCCTCCTCCTGCTCGTAGTGATGGGCCAGGGTCTCTTTCTCCTTCTTCAGGGATTGAATCTTCTTCAGGAGAGTGTTGCTGATGAATTCTTCCTCTTGCTCTGCTTTAGCTTGCTGAAAGAGGACATGAAGAGGGCGGTTTTGATTTTTCAGTAGCGAAGGCTAGGGATGCAAAATGACGGTAATTTTGCATCCCCAGCGTCAGTAATTTTTTCCCGTTGTCATTTATGCAGAAAAATCGTCTATCTAGATGTCACCCGATCGTCATTTTTGTGCTCGGTCATTTTTTGCTTTTTTTTCATGAATTTTTTGGGAAATTTGAATACAATTGTAAATAACGCCGAAACGGAATTCGAAAGTTCAGTGAATATTACGTTAGTATGGAATTGCCGGAAAATTAGAAAAATTCCGTTGAACTTTTTTATTTATTATTAACTTGTCAAACAAGTTTTGTTTGGGCCAACAAAATCGTTAGTGGAAAATTACCAAAAAAATAATTGATGTCTTTTAAATTGGTGAAAAATTAGCTGAAACAGTGACTAAATTCCAATCGATTGTAAAAATATTAACTTTTTTGTTGAATCATCTCCAAAATTCTGCAAATCTTCCAATTATTGTCCTTTAAATTCAAAAATCCAAGCAAAATCCCCATTTCATCATTTTTCTTGACAAATTATTCAGAATAATCGACCAAAAATCTAAAATTCTTCACGAAATCCTCTCATTAATCGTCATCATCCTCAACACCTCCAACAGACCCGCAATAATGACAGACCTTCCCAAAAAATAATTTAAGCGACCAACTCAGTTCCAATAAATTAAACAAAACAAGTCAATGTCTCATCTATTCCCCACTGTTAATTATTTTTTTGTTGAATCATTTTCGAAATTCTGTAAATCTTCCAACTATTACCCTTCAAATTCACAAACCCCAGCAAATAAATTTCCCTCTCAACATTATTCTCAACAAATTATTAAGAATAATCGACAAAAATCTAACATTCTTCACGAATTCTCTCATTAATCATCATCATCATCATCACCAACACCTTCAACAAACTCACAATAATGACAGAAGCTTGTCGAAGCGAGCGATTCTCCTCCTGCAGTGCCTTAACCCTCAGCTTGTAGGTCTCAAGCTCAACCTTGAGCACTCGATTGTGCTGCTGAAGGGACTCAATCCTCTTCTGCAACTGTTCACGTGTTACCGGCGACGGTGGCATCATAATTGGACCACCGTCAATCGAGCTCGAGTCGCTCTCCGATGCGCTATCACGGTCAGCCATTTTATTTCGAAAAAAGGAAAATGAAAAATTGCAAAAAGGGGCGAATTGTCTCCTGCGTTTTCACGAATTAATTCTGGTTATTCAGCGCCACGAGTGTCCTAACATGGCCCGCTTCACCTCTGGGACGATCACTTCACTTTTTCCACTTTATTTTGAGGACTTTCGGGGGTTCAGAGTCATTACTTGCCCGGGAATTGCGATAATTATGCGACACTTTGCGGCACAAACATGTGGTCGTATCTGCGGGTTCTCCTCCAACGCCAAAACGGATCAGCTGTTTCAGCGGGGAGCGTTCGCCGTTGGAAATGAGCGTTACATTTACAATTCGCGACTGTGATTAAGGGCGGGAGAATTTGAATGAGAAGCTAAGGACACCCAAGTGTTGCGGCATTTCGCATCCGAAGAGAAGCTTTGTTATCGGAGAAATTGAAGTTTTCGATTTTTTGTGTTGTGTCAGTTGATTGCGATGCAAAAAGTCCGAAAATGCAAATTTTACCCGGCACATGACTGTCATTTTTGATCATTATGACGCGATCCAAAAAATTACGGTCATTTTGCATGTCTAGTTTTCACAATAATGAGCTTACAAATTATTTGTGACCACAATTTTTAGTTAAAAAATTTTTCGCGTCAGATGACCGTCATTTTTGGTCATATGACGCAATCTCAAAAATGACCGTCATTTTGCATCTCTAGCGTTGACAACAATTAATTTACAAATGATTTGTGACCATCAGTTTTAGTTAGAAATTTTAAGCGTCACATGACTGTCATTTTTGGTCATATGACGCAATCTCAAAAATGACGGTCATTTTGCATCTCTAGCGTTGACAACAATTAATTTACAAATGATTTGTGACCATCAGTTTTAGTTAGAAATTTTGAGCGTCACATGACTGTCATTTTGGGTCATATGACGCAATCTCAAAAATGACCGTCATTTTGCATCTCCATGTGTTTGCCACCTTTTGCGATAGTCGTTCAGTGGGGATTCCCCTTAGCTAGTTCCACTGGTAAACATCAACACCTCTCGGTGTTGATGTAATTATTTTCCGTTTATTTAGTTACCGTAGCTTAGTGAAGAATGCAGAAGGAAATTCAGGATCTCGTGGAGAAGTCATTGAAGAAGGCGAGGAGGCTGAGGGCTGTGGGTAATTATGGCCACGCTTACGCTCATTACACCGCTGTCGTGGAGCTCGCACCAGAGAAGAGGGCTGATGTTGAGGAGGAGTTCACCGATGTCTTGTGTATGCAAATAAATATTTCCCCAATCCTGAATACCTAATTAAATTGAATTGAAATTGACCCCTGAATTTAATTTGATCAATAATTCCGTCAATTTGCTGTTTAGGCAAGTGGGGACTGGAGTTGGAGAAAATCGACTTTGAAAAGACTGTTTTATGCTACACTAGATCACTAGAAATCTTCCCCGACAACCCACGAATGCTGAATAATTGCGCAGCACATTACTTGAGGTACAGAGAATCAGAAAGAAATGATCGTCATGATGATAATGATGATGCACCTAACTAATTATTCAATTATCTCGGTAATGAGCGGATCTAGAAAAAAATGTCATAAAACGTTTTTTGTAGAGAATTACATTTCCCACAAAAAATGTTTTATGACATTTTGCTGTAAACCCACTAGTTTCTGAGATATTCCCAAAATTATCATTCGAAATTTTTGCAGTTGATCAAAAAATTTTGCATTTTCATTTTTGCAGGCAACACTCTCCCCGAGAGGCCCTCCCCTACCTCACCCGCGCCCTCTCTTCCTCCCCGGACTTCCTCCCCGCCGAATGGAGCCTGGATTACGCGCAAAATCTTCTGGTAGACCGCTGGCACTTCCCGATGCTGAACGACAGAACCCGCAACACCCGCTACGAGCGGGCGATCTCCAACCGCATCTCCCAGGGCTTCAACACAGTCCTGGACATCGGCACAGGGAGTGGTCTGCTCGCCCTTTACGCGAAGGACTCGGGGGCGGAGCGGGTCTTCGCCTGCGAGCTCTCCACGGAGATGTCCTTCATCGCTGATAGAGTCTTCTCAAGAAATAACTGCACTGACATTACGCTTCTTCCTCAGCATTCCACTTCCATTGAAATCCCTCGAGACATTCCGCAGAAGGTAAATAACTTGACATTTATTTCACACTGAATTTACCATTTTTCATTGAAAATTGGACTTTTCAAAAAATCTTTATCGTTTGAAAAATGACGAAGGATCAAACGGCCTTGAGGGTCAAATGGGAGAGACGAATGAAGTGATCAAATGAAAGTGTTTCTTTCATTTGACCCTTAAGAACGTGCGAACGTGTGATCCAAACATTGCGAAGAGTCAAACATTTTGAGGGTCAAATGGGAGAGACAACTGAAGTGATCAGAAGAATCAAACTTTATTGAAGGTCAAATGGGAGAGACGAGAGGAGTTGAAAGGGTCAAATGGGAGAAGCGAGTAGAGACCCCCCCACTCCCCCACTTGACCCTTAAAAACATCAAACGAAAGAGGCAAGATCAGGGTCAACTGGGAGAGACCAATGGAGTGATTAAATGAAAGTGTTTCTTTCATTTGACCCTTAAGAACGTGTGAACGTGTGATCCAAACATTGCGAAGGGTCAAACATTTTGAGGGTCAAATGGGAGAGACAACTGAAGTGATCAGAAGAATCAAACTTTATTGAAGGTCAAATGGGAGAGACGAGAGGAGTTGAAAGGGTCAAATGGGAGAAGCGAGTAGAGACCCCCCCACTCCCCCACTTGACCCTTAAAAACATCAAACGAAAGAGGCAAGATCAGGGTCAACTGGGAGAGACCAATGGAGTGATTAAATGAAAGTGTTTCTTTCATTTGACCCTTAAGAACGTGTGAACGTGTGATCCAAACATTGCGAAGGGTCAAACATTTTGAGGGTCAAATGGGAGAGACAACTGAAGTGATCAGAAGAATCAAACTTTATTGAAGGTCAAATGGGAGAGACGAGAGGAGTTGAAAGGGTCAAATGGGAGAAGCGAGTAGAGACCCCCCCACTCCCCCACTTGACCCTTAAAAACATCAAACGAAAGAGGCAAGATCAGGGTCAACTGGGAGAGACCAATGGAGTGATTAAATGAAAGTGTTTCTTTCATTTGACCCTTAAGAACGTGTGAACGTGTGATCCAAACATTGCGAAGGGTCAAACATTTTGAGGGTCAAATGGGAGAGACAACTGAAGTGATCAGAAGAATCAAACTTTATTGAAGGTCAAATGGGAGAGACGAGAGGAGTTGAAAGGGTCAAATGGGAGAAGCGAGTAGAGACCCCCCCACTCCCCCACTTGACCCTTAAAAACATCAAACGAAAGAGGCAAGATCAGGGTCAACTGGGAGAGACCAATGGAGTGATCAAATGAAAGTGCTTCTTCCATTTGACCCTTACGAGCGAGTGATCCAAACATTGGCAAGGGTTAAACATTTTTGACAGAGTCAAATGTGAGGGACGAATGGAGCCATTACTCCACCTGTCTCTGGCATTTGACGCTTAACATCGTGTGATCCAAACAATGGCGGAAGTCAAATGTTCTTGAGGGTCAAACGGAAGAGACAGGTTAAGGGTCAACTGGGAGAGACGAATGAAGTGATCCAAACATTGGCAAAGCGTCAAACATTTTTTAGGATTAAATGGGAGAGACGAGGAGAGGAGTTGAAAGGGTCAAATGGGAGAGGCGAGTAGAGTTTAAACTCCCCCACTTGACCCTTAAAAACATGAAATGAAAGAGACAGGATAAGGGTCAACTAGGAGAGACGAATGAAGTGATCAAATGAAAGTGCTTCTTCCATACGACCCGTAATAGCCCGTCCAAACATTCAAATCTTGGCAAGGGTTAAAAATTTTTGAAAGGGTCAAATGGGAGAGACCGGTTCGGGTCAAATGGAAGAAACGAGTGAAGAGATCACTCCCCTCTTCCCTTCGCGTTGACCCACAATCTTGTACCTCCGAAAATAATAAATCCCTTTCCCCCAAGGTGAAGCTCATCGTAACCGAGATATTCGACGTAGCCGTTTTCGGCGAGCGCGTCCTCTCGACCCTGATCCACGCCCACGAGCACCTCCTCTCAGACAACGGGATAGTCCTCCCGATGAGGGCGAGGGTCTTCGCGGCGGCCGTGGAGAGCCCCCAGATCCGCTTCACGTCCTTCGTCACCCCGGCCCCCAAATCCGACCTGACCCTCAATTTCGCCGGCATCGACATCTACTCGGACGACAAGAACTACGACGCCATGAGCCTCAGGCAGGAGGAGACACTCTACTTGACGGACCCCGTGGAAATTCTCCGGGTCAACTTCAACGATCTCTCTGAACTGAGAAGACTCCATGCCGAAGGAACGAAGAACGTGTCTTCACTGAAGACGATACGGGACGGTACGATTGATGGGGTTGTCACCTGGTTCAAGCTAGACCTCGATGAGGAGAATGTCCTGGACACCTCCAAGGACGACTCGTGCTGGCAGTTGGCAGTTTTCCCTGACAAACCAGCCAAGTGCACGGCTGGACAGAACCTGAAGATCATGACTAAACTGTGGCAGGAGAAGATGCACTGCATTTACCAATTCCAAGACGACAAGAGCGATAACTCAGACTGGAGGAGGTGCAAGGACTTCTACTTCATCCCTCAGCACGTCATAATGCTCCTGAATGACGACGATTACGTGTCTTCCATAGCACGCGTTGCTCAATTCCACAGGGATAAGAGGCTCAGGTACATCCTGGACGTGTGCCCATTTCCTGTCTATGGGCTGGAGATGCTCAAGTGGAATGACGAGGTGTTGAGGGTCTACTGTTATGCGGAGACGGAGCAGCTGGGGGAGCTTATCATGAGGATTGCTGAGCAGAGCGGGGTCGACAGGGAGAGGATATCCATTGTGGAGGGCACTGATGAGATTGACAGGAGTGTGGACGTCATATTTAATCATAATTTCAGCACTCAGGGGGAGATCAATGACTGGAGTGAACCGAGCTTGTATGAGGCGTTGAGGCTTACTCTGTCCACTGACGGGTTCATACTGCCCAGGAGGATATTTCTCATTGGCCAATTGGGGTACTCGGAGGATCTCCCCAGGCTGATACTCGTGGAGGACAAGAATGTGCAGAGGACTATGGGGGAGAGTGACTATGTCATTGGGGAGTTTGTTAATCAGTATTCGTGCAGACAACGATTCGATCTTGATTCGGCGCTTTATAAGTTCGTGGAGGTGAGTGAGGAGAGGGTACTTGTGCAGATTGACGAGGGCAATGCCACCAGTGCTGTTGCCAATTTTGGGAGGATCGAGGGGGAGGGGGTGCTGCCTAATATCTTGGTCTGCTGGTACACCATTCATCTGGATGGGGGGAACTGCGTGGGCTCCAGGAGGGATACCTCGTTCATGAATCACTCGGCGATTGTTCTGGGGGAGGGGGTCAAGGGGGTCATCGAGAGGGGGGAGGATGTTAGGTTTAAGGTGCTGCAGATGAGGGGGCTCACCAGGGTGAGTCTCGTTTTGTGAATGACGAATTCACTTGTGATTTGATAATAAATGTTTTTAAATGGTTTTGATAAATATCGGACGTGTTTTTATATTTCCTGATGATCCACGGATGATTTAATGTGAAAGGTAAAATGCTGATGGGGTTGGGGAGGTGACAGGAGTTTGAATGTTATATTTTTTTTAAGGAAATTAATTGCAAGAAAAATACACAAAAAAAATTTTATAGGCTCGAGTTTAAAGGGTTGTGAAGGGGGATGTCGGGATGGAAAATTTTCGTCATTTTGGATGATTTGTTGTGTTCCAGGTCTGGTAAATAGTAGGAGAGGATGGACACAGTCCAGTATTGGTCGGCATATAGCCTTATAAATTTTAACGACATGTTTAGTAATGAGGGCTTTGTTTTTGTAAGTAAGGCTTCGAAACTTGGAACCTCTGGCAGTGCATTTTTTCTTTACAATACTGGCATGAGCTTGAATGTTGTATTTAATCATAATTAAACCGATCCGAGAGAACGAAGAGACTCACCAGGATGAGTTTAGTTCTGTGAATGACGAGCTGACTTCTGATTTGATAATAAATTTTTTTAAATGGTTTTCATAAAACGGACGGTTTATTCGATATCCTGATCACACACTATTTAATTTACCTTAGGGCTTACAAAAATACATATGGAGGTAATTATTAAATATAATTTTCCTATTTTTCTCCTAACTAATCGCAGTCATCACAGTTTACTTTTCTGATCATTAAAAAATCCCACAACATGGGGTGCTATGACCTCAGGCTCGTTGTTATGCACGTCGTGGTTCCCAGGGACCCCCACCACAGTCACGCACCCCGAGAGGTGCTTCTTGATCGTCTCCAGGGTCTCCAGCTCTCCCCAATGCTTGTACCAGGAGTGTTCGGGGATTATCAGCAGGACTGGGATCACCAGCTTCTTCATGTACGCCATCAGCTGCTCCAGGTTGAAGGACAGTATCACGATGGCTCTCATCCTCACGTCCCTGTTGTACCTGTACTTGTCGCCGACCCTCGTCGTGGCCCTCACGAAAAGGGCCTCAGCAGCTTCTCTAGTCAACGCAAACTGTCTTCCAGTCTGGAGTGTCTCCAGGATCTTCTCCTGGGTGTGGAGACTGGGTGCTCTCTCCTGTGTCGAAGAAATTGTGGTGTCGAAGATGGTTTTTGTTCTTGTGGGCAGCTCATCGGGGCCGAAGGTCTTGGAGAACAGGGCGTCCAGGGCGATGATCTTCTCCAATCTGTTGGGAGACAGGATTGAGAACATGACTCCGAGCTGGGCGCCAAAGCTGTGGCCGATGTACAGGCACTTCTTCCAGTTGAGCTCCTCCAGGACGTAGTGGATCGTCACCACGAAGTTGAAGAAGTCCAGGAACATGCCGGGGGGAAAGTGGGAGGAGAAACCGTGGCTGGGGAGGTCGATGGAGACGTAGTGGAAGTCCTGGGGGAGGTGGCTGACTAGGCGGGTGAAGGAGCCTGCGTTGTCCAGGGTGCCGTGCACCAGGAGAACCGGCTTTGCGGAGGGAGGGCCCCACGACAGCGCGGAGATGTGACCCCAGGGGACTTTCAACTTCAGTTCGCTGGGGGAGGCCATTCCTTATCTGGGGAGAAGATTTTTGGGAGGTTTAGATGGGGTTCAATGACTTCGTGAAATCATTTTGCGAAAAATGGAGAACAATATTTTGGGTGCAAAAACTACTTGGCTTGAGAAATATTTCGTCTACTGTGTACTCTACGTCCAATTCGAATTATATACATGTCTTTTGGAGAAAAATTCGGTGATTGTTGCTTATTATCTTGTTCACAAATAAATTACATAAATATTTTACATGGTTTAAAACCATTTTTACGCTTCTTGACAAATATATTAGCTTCAGAAATTTTTGCGAACTACTATTTCCAGAATTCCATTGAAATTACTCATTAATCGATTGCTAATTGCTGAATTATCTCAACAACAAGGGCTTCCAGAGCAAAATGTCAGAAGACAATTTACATTGAAAATTAAATTCTCCGCAAAAAATTCCTTTGACATTTTCTCGTAAGCTCACTCTGTCATCAAATAAACGTGAATGATTCAAAAACTCAATTCTTTCATGACTTCACCATTAACATAATCATGATTATTAATTCTTCTCCACAAACTCCTCATGTTTTTTTCAATCTTGGTGCATGACTCAACAATTATTACAGTACATCAACAATTATTATTTGTTGTAAACAATGAGCAATGAATAATCAACATTAAGGTTATGACAATTTGCAACAAAAAGAAACACAATCGTTTTACTGGAATTTTGTGTCATGACGTGAAAATGATTTCGTTATGAATAATAAACGTTTATTACCGTCTCGGCGAGAGAAAATCCACTGACTGATGTTTCCGGAGATGTTAGGTGAGTTATGCAGCATAAAGTTGGGAATAGAAAAATGCAAATAGCGGAGGGGGGTCGCTGTTACAACCGTCATGTTACGTCGCCGTTGACAATGTGTGCGCGGTTCGAGGGGTAAACCTGACTCAGTGGATCAACGATCGATGTCTCTGGAAGGGATCCATGTCCACTCGATTATTCTTTTTTAAAATTTAAACTCAATTATTCTTTCATTATTAAAAAATTACACAATACGCAGATCCGATCAATTAGCCCCTAATGTATAGATATTCCAAATTTTTATTTTTTTTCTTCATTGAAGTAGTTTTGAAGAAAATTGCGAGCTAATGAAAAACATTTGCTAGTTAGTACTTTTTTAAAATAAATTTTTGAAAAATCACCCCTGAAAAAAAAGGCGTTATCCCCCCTATTTCATTATTTCCAAAACATTTTATCACCAAATCGGTAGCAAATTGTTAGAAGATTTTTGCGAGTTAAGAAAAAATCGTCAATGCACTCCTATTATTGTGTAAATTAACAATTCCAATTTCAACTGAAAACCAGAGTTGATGACCAGAGTTTGTAGCAGAGATGTCAGACAAGATATGAATGTTTTTTTTGG